GATACTAAAGAGCTGAACAGAAGATTCCAAAAGGCTGCTCGGAATGACAAAGCAAAATACTACAATGAAATGTGCGAGGAGCTAGAGCCAGAAAAGCATATGAGGCAACTGAAAATAATGTCAAGGAACTTATTTATGCTAACATCTAGTATCCTTTTTTTTGTCTTTACTAAAAATACTTTTCTAAATAAAATTAATTAAAAATTGATTAAGTATCTATTAAACCATAAAAATTTAGAATATAACAATATTTTAAAAGTCTGCTTTGAGCACTCTAGTCTTTTAAGAACTACTTACATAGGATTAAAATGCCAATTAAGTAAAAGATCCAACAGAAACCTTCGAGGGTTGTAAGTTTATGTTAGTGAGGGAAGAACAACTCAGAAAAAGAAGGTAAGAATGACTACACAAAGTTGAGCACAACTTACAGAGACCCTATGAACAAAAAGCCTGAAGGCTTTCTATAACTATTGTTATCAAAGTTTATAGTTTCCAGAGGCATGTTGTTTAGGAAATGGGTGCCACTAAATGATATATGTTGAAACTATTGAATTGGTGTATATTCTCAACCACATAAAAAATCTAGAAATGTTCTCTAAATTTTAAGTTTCTAAAAGTCAGATGATACAGCAAAGGGGGGAAGGGAAGAAAAAAAATAATCTTTCACTATTCAAAAATGGTATTGTTAACATTTTTTTTTACTAGAATAGCCTTTGCTGATTTTACATGTATGTGTATGAGTACATTCAACTATGCATACATACTCTGGGCATGTTGCTGGGAGGGGCTATTCCTTGGAGAGGGACATAGTGCTGGAAAGGGTAGAGGGTTGGTGAAGTAGAGTTGATCAGGTGGGATTAACACAGTGACTGCTACAGTGGGCTCTTTGTATGTCAGGACAGAACAGGGTTCAGAGCTTTTGTTCACAGGGTCTCTAGGAGTCGTGCTTGACTCAATTGCACGTAACAACAACAACATACATATGTTGCCTTAAGTTTTTGTTGGTTTTGGGGTTTTTTTTGGCAAAATTGAGATCATACTATATTTACAATTTTTAAAATTTTCCTTTATTTTCTGTTTTTATTTTATAGTCAATTACTTGTTGCCTTTTCTTGCAAAATTGAGATCATACCATTTATTTATAATTTTTAACTTTTTTACTTTATGTTTTTACTTTATAGTCACTGACTTTCCCCATATGATTTATTTATCTTGAAAACACTAGTGTAATGCTATAGGAGAGGCATCAGATATCTTTCAGAATTTATTTAAAACAACTGTTTAGAAGAAATTACTGGATATAACAGCATTTAATTGTGATATGGTCTAGAAGCATATATAAAAATAGGCTCTAGATTTTAATAGTGGGCAAAATCGACTTTAGAATGTCTAGCATAAAATTTTCTTAAGTTTTAAAATTCTGTTAATGTCAAGGAAATTATAAATGACAGGATTATAAAATAAACAGAAACACCTAGAAAGAGTGTACCCCTTAGAACAATCCAAGAACAATCCAAGACCAAAAGGACAATACTCATTTAAACAAAAAATGAGAAGACAGAAGACAGGGAAACCACAGGAAAGGAAATATGGAAACCAGGGAAGAAAAGAGTGAGTCCTGAAAAACCATGGGAATTGTAACCAATGTCATGGAACAATTCATGTATAGATTATTGACTGGAAAACTAATTTGCTAGTAAATTTTCACCTAAAACACAATAAAAATGCTCAAAAGCAAAGAAAAGTCAAATTACTCCGCTAGAAATATTAAAACAACTTTAGCTAAATTCTATCATTCTGTAGTAATTTAAATATTTTTATAAAGCTCTGTCAGCTTAGCTAGTTATGATTTAAAAAGTGAACAACCATTTTATGTTTACATTATAAATTTTTATTTTTACTCAATCTTAAAGAAGGTATTTCCTAAAGAAATAATGTTTTAAATTATGGTAGAAACCCTCAATTATATATCTCTCTCTATATATTAAAAAACCAAATCCAAACCTCTTAACTGGTATGTATCTAAGATATGAATTCTAAAATTACTATTTCAAGTTGTGTGCTGCTGGGTTGACTGACTTTTAGTGACCCTCCAGGATAGAACAAAAGGCTCTACAGGGTTTCTTAGACTGTACTGAGTGGTGGCTGTGAACCACAGACATTTCAATTAGCAACTGAATGCTTTATCCATTGCACCTCCAAGGATACAATGTTTACAAATAAACATTATTTATATGGGAAAATATGTTGTGAACTCTAATTTGGGCTTCAAAAATACTTTAGCTGACAAAACAACTATGAGATACCATCTCACCCCAGTAACAATAACAAAATTCAACAGAGCCGCAAACAACAAATGCTGATGAGATTGTGGAGAAACTGGAACTGTTATTCACTGTTGGCGGAAGCGTAAAATGGTGCAACCACTACAGAAAGCTGTATGGAGCTTTCTCAGAAAGTTGCAAATAGAAAAACCATTTCACCCAGCAATTCCACTACTGGGAATATGCACCCTAAGGAAATTAGAGAACTGCCACTCAAAAGATTTATGCACACTTATGTTTACTGCTGCACTGTTCACAATAGCAAAGAGCTGGAAACAACCCAAGTGCATATCAACAAACAAATGGATAGAGAAGCTGTGGTATATTCATACAATGGAATACTATGCAGCACTGAAAAACAAGGAACTCATAAAATATTATACAAAATGGAGGACACTATGCTGAGTGAAATATCTCAGTAACAAAAGGACAAATATTGCACAATGCCACTGTTATAAAACAGGACTGACATTGGAGTTGGGGGGGAAACTAAGAAAAGAGGGGATAAGTGTACACTGCATTGAAACAGAAGAGGGAAAGAAGAGTTTAAAAGGAATATATGATTAGGTATTATTTGCATGACAACAGTCCAGAATAACAGCTGGAGTGGGTAGGAAATTGTGCCACAATGAAAGAATTTTTTTTCAAAGATAAAAGGAAACTGGGAAAGGGAATGGAGGAAAATGTGCAACAATGAATGAAGGGAAATCCAAGTTCTCTATAAACTCTTGTTAAAACATCAATTAAAAAAATAGAGTGGGTACAGTAAAGAAACTATCTCACTCTTTGAAGGTTCTATAGAAACACAATTAAACATTGTAAAATGGCTTTGTTACACATGAACCATCTGGTGTGGAGGAACTCTATCTGTATGTTTAAAGGGCCTGGAATAATTGTATTTTGCTGGCAATAGATACATTTTTAAATTTCTTATTGTTTGCAGGTTCCTCATTACATCTGTTACTATGTACTGGTTTTGTCATCAATAAAGTAACTTAAAAAAAAAGAATACATTAGCTGAGGTGAAAGATGGGCTAATGGAATAGCACATTTATTAAAGGTAGGGTTACATGGCCAATTATTGTTATTACTGTCAATAAACTGTAAAAGACGGAACTGGCAAATGTTGTGTGATTGATAAAATTACCAAAAAAAGTAGTTGAGGTTGCTAATGGACAATCACAAATCTCACAAAATTTTGTTTGGTTCCTTTAGTTTGGACGTTTAGAGTCACAGACAACCCAGTGACCTGATTGCCTATTTAGTGCCACTGTTCTCCTTCCAACTTGGTTATGTATGGCTTGACATTATAAATATTTGCAGATGGTCAATCACTGCACAAAAACTGGTCTCTAATCAACTAGAGCAATAGAGGAAAAAGAAAAGTCAGGAATAGGAGGAAGACAGAGAATGTCTCCCCAGCTTGTCTCCCTGAACAGCTGCCTCTTTTTTCTGAGATCAGAAGAAATGGATGATGCTCAGCTATCATTCCTGAACATACTGTTCAGAGTTTCCATTATAACAACAAAAAAACCACACCAAAAAACTCTTTATCAAAAAGGGGGAAATACATTCCAATTTTCACATAGTCCAGACTTCATGGAGACATGAAGACAATGCTCTGAGATAATACAGTGGAAAGGAGCAGTGTTGCCAATTCAAAAGCAGGCAGACTCTATCTACTGGCTGTTCTACAGGAGAAAGGTAGGCAATTTCTGTCATCTACTGCCTCTGAAAACCTGTTGGAGGTCAGCTATGATTTGATGGTACAACAATAAAAAGCAAAGTCTTCTGATACCCAAACAGTAGTTCTCATTATCAAGTGGAAAGGGTTTGCCTTGAGCATTATGTCCTCTTGAGATCTATGAAATCAAATTAAGAGAGCAATTTGAAAGATTAGATAAGAACTCTAGGAAGCAATGATTTTGTGAGTGAAGTAGAACAACACAGAACACAACACAGTACAACTTGAAGACTGTTGTCACAAGATAGTACTTGTTGCTGTTGTTATGTGTCGTCAAGTCGCCTGTGACTCATAGCCATCCTATGTACAGCAGCTCTGAAGCCTACCCTGTCCTGCACACAGGTAATAACTGTTTAATTGGTATATACTTTGCTGTGTAGTTTTAGCAACAAAAATTTTAAAATAATATATTATTCATGGGTCAATAGGTGACCAACACGAGTTCAGCATTTTCTTTAGAGCAAGTCCCTCTGCATTTCATAAAAGGTATGAGTGAGGTTATTCTTGTGTTAGACGTAGAGGTTCTCTTGTTTGGTGGGTGATAATGATAATGTCTAACCTGCAGTTTATGTCTGAGAGTTTGGCATCATTTTTAATGTGACAGATGATCTTATTCTGGTAATTATTACAGGTTCTGAATTTCAGAAATCTAATAAAACAAAATATAGTTGAGAAAAACACAATACTATAATTTACTGATTTAGAATGTCTCCTGCAATTTTACTCCAGGATGATGTTGTTGTTGTTGTCGTTGTTGTGTGCCATCGAGTCAGAACCAACCCACAGTTGACCCTCCAGGGTTTTCAGAGGCAGTAATCACCTGGGAGGAAAGTGGTTCTTCTCTAGTGGAGGACATGTTAGATTTGAATCACATGCCTTTGGGATTGCAGCTCAACTTCTTACCAGTAGACCACCAGAGCTCCCTATTATAGGACAGAATGTTAGAAAAGTCACCTTTTTGGTATGCATAAATATTTCTATATTTTTGTATTATGAAGAACACAGAGTGTTCTTATGAAGAAATTAGCTACGGTTATATTGGCATGTGCAAAATATCTAACATGGCTATCAGTTAAATATATTTTTACTGAAGGCATATGAAAAATGTCAATTCCATTCTATCATTTACTTTTGTGAATGTTTCTTTTGACTGTTGTACAAAAAAGCACTATTTTCCCGCTGTTGTTAAGTGCTGTTGTACTGAGTATGACTCATAGTGATCCCATGAATAACAAATCTAAATTCTGTCCAGTGAGACGAAATATTAACATCCTTCTCTCTAATATACTTTTCCACAGAAAGTATATTATTAATAACTTTAGACTGCCAATACAGACTATTTCATACTGCTACCTACTGATTGTTGTTGTTGGGAGCTCCGGTGGCCAGTGGCAAGAATCTGCACTTCAATCCCAAAGGCATATGGTTTCAAATCCTCCAGCTGTTCCCTGGGAGAAGGATGGACAATCTCCTCCCGTGTGATTACTACCTTCAAAAACTCGCTCGAGGGTCAGCTATGGGATGGTTCTGACTTGATGGCATATAGCAACAACAACCTATTGATAATTAATTCTTTACATTTTCATATTTAATTAAGTAGTATAATGTGTGGTCATGCTATTTTACATGTTCCCTTTTAAAAGTAAGCAGAGAAAATATTTACCCTTATTTCTGGCTCTATCCGTAAACAGTAAGGTTGATTCTGATACTGCTGAATTTCTCCAGTAATTTCAGCCACTTTCCTCCTCTTACTGAAATTGATTAAATCTTTCCCTTTCTTTTTCAAAAAGTCATTATTCCCTTCTTCAGTCTTCAGAATATTTGTTAAGTATATTCCTAATGAAACACATATTTAAACATCAGTTAATCAACTGCTTGGAAAACAAATTATCCAGTCAGTGGAACACACCTTCTCTTATGATTCATCAATTTTACCTTTAAAATGTTACTAAGTTTCTAATATAGTTAATCATTAATTCAATATTGAAGTTTTTTGGGATTTTTTTACATAAAAAGAATTGAAAATAAGGTTTTAAGATGCTTAGGGTTTAGAAAAGCTTAATTTGACATTTCTTAGACTAATAGACAAAAAAGGATTCATTCTCAAAAGTCTAAACTGTAAGGACAGACTACCATAATTTAGACAGAAAATTATTCCTTATTTTTGGAGAGAAAGAAAGTCTTCCATTCTTTTTTCATGCATAATTAGTGACTAAATCAATGGTTCTCAACTGAAGTAAATTCGGGTCCCCAGAGAATATCTGGACATGTCTATGACCATTTTTAGGTGGTTGTCACAAATATAAGGTATTGCTGGCATCTAGTGAATAGTCAAAAAAGATACTGCTTAATGTTCTATAAAGCATGGACAGCCTTCACAATAAAGAATTATTTGTCAAAAATGTCAGTAGTGACACTGAGAAATCCTTATTCAGACCGTTAAATTTACACAGTATTTAAAGTTCACATTGTAAAAATTCTATTTAATAAAGTACATGTATTAATGATGATTTAAAAAACCCACGTCTTTAGTGAACTGTATAGAACATAAGCACTATAAGATGTGACATAAAAAATTATAATAAAAATAACAGTTACCACACTATGAGTGCTACTAAAAACCAGACCTTGCAGTAGGTAGTACACAGATAAATATGTTTAATCTTTACAACAACTCCGTGAGGTAATTATAATAACTTTCATTCGATAGCTAGAAAATAAGGATTTAATTTACTCAATGGAGGCAGTTAATAAGCACTGATGAACTCGGATATAAAATCAGAACAATTTCCCTCTGAAAGACTGCCCTTTTTTGGCTATAGCACACTGTTCCTCAAAATAAAATATCCATATTTAATAACTTACCAAAAAAAGGCACACAAGGTGGATTAATTGACTTAAGTTTTACTAAGTATTTTTTAAAGTGATCTTGACTTAATTCCACAGCTTCATCCAAAATTTTCTTCTTTCTTTCCTGCAATGCCTTTAAAAGATATAAATTTGGTTATATAAATGTATGAATTTTACAACTCAATAATTTTTTTTAATTTTTTTATTTTTTATTTTTGTGTGAGTGTACCGTCAAATCAGATCTGACTGGTACACGAGGAGATTGTTCCTCTTTTTCCCAGCAGAGCATCTGGTGGATTCGAACCGTGTGCCTCTGGGATTGTAGTTGCAGCTCCTTGCCACTACGCCACCAGAGCTCCCCTAACTCAATAATATTTTACAGATGCATAATTTAACTTAATTTTAAGAGATAAGCAGCATTATTTTCTAAATTTAAAATATTTTTTTTATTTTATCCTGGTTTACTTAAGCAGTATTCTTTTGTTAACTCGCACCTACAATGTTTTTTCCTCTCTCCTATAAATAAAAAAAAAAGAAAGCCGTCTTTTTTTTTCTATATCAATTAGAAGATAAAACAATTTAAAACTCTTGCTCTAGATCTTATTAGTTAAAATTAGCAGGCTGTTACAGTGGGCTTTACAGCACATTAAAGACTGTGAAACAGTGCAAGATACACGTAGGCTCCAGAGCCAATTCAACGTTACCTAACAATAACTGTAGAAGTCACAGAAGAGAATTAAGCATGTCTCCCCACTATCTTGAACTAGAGTGATCTTATGAAATATCTCATAATCCAAAATGGCATAAAGCAAAGAAGCAATTACCATTAACTTAAATAGGAAAGAATTTCTAATGTTCCCAGGCACAAAAAATCTACCAAATCACACATAAAATCTAAAATAACACTTGACATAAAGTGCTTATAGGCACAGTTCAAAGTCACGGCATCTTGGTGCTGAGATGCTAAGTGTATGAAAAAGCAAAGGGCCACAGATAATCAAGGCATTTTAAAAATCGGCCCCCGGAATAGATGGTATACCAATTGACATATTTCCACTAACAGATGCTGCCCTGGACATGCTCACCAAGGTGTGCCAAGAAATCTGGAGAACAACCACTTGGCCAACTGACTGGAAGAGATCTATATTTGTTCCTATCCCGAAGAAAG